ATCGAAATTTTCGGCGCCTGCGGCGGGCTGTTTTTGAATTCCTTCCAGGTGGAGGTGGGGAGCCCGCGACCCACCTGCGACCCAAACTACGTTCACTGAACAAGCCAAAACTTCGGCGCCTGCGGCGGATTTCTTTTGCATCGGCGACCCACGCGCGACCCACTGGCGACCCACCCGCGACCCACCCCGCGACCCACCGCGCGACCCACCCGCGACCCACCCCGCGACCCGCCCCGAACCCCCCCGGCGACCCACCTGCGACCCACCCGCGACCCTCCCCGAGACCCACCAAAAATGTTCGGCGCCTGCGGCGGGTTTCTTTTGCATTCGTTCCAGGTCGTTCCAAGTGGAGAACCTGCGACCCACCAGCGACCCAAACCGCGTTCAGTGTACAAATCGAAATTTTCGGCGCCTGCGGCGGGCTGTTTTTGAATTCCTTCCAGGTGGAGGTGGGGAGCCCGCGACCCACCCGCGACCCAAACTACGTTCACTGAACAAGCCAAAACTTCGGCGCCTGCGGCGGATTTCTTTTGCATCGGCGACCCACGCGCGACCCACTGGCGACCCAACCCAAGACCCACCCGCGACCCACCCCGCGACCCACCGCGCGACCCACCCGCGACCCACCCGCGACCCACCCCGAAACCCCCCAGCGACCCACCTGCGACCCACCCGCGACCCACCCCGCGACCCACCAAAAATTTTCGGCGCCTGCGGCGGGCTTCTTTTGCATTCGTTCCAGGCTTCTTTTGCATTCGTGAGGGCCACGAAGTCCGCCGGCTCAACGCCCGCGTCGCCCGCGCCCGCCCCCTCACTCTTATCCGCAATTGCGGGGTGCTACGTATACACATTCACAGGTTTGTGGGCTCGTGCATGTGGAAATCGTCAAGCGGCCAAAACCTCATAGACATTCGAGTCAGATGAGAGCCTCCCTCCCTGTCGACCTCGAGCGCTCTATAGCAGCGTTTAACACATGTGGTTCTGGCCCTCCGCCCGCGGTACCATGCGTCAGAACACGGGTCATGTGCATGGACTCGCCACGCACGACGCTAAACGTACGTGCGACAAACGTGCCCATTCTTCTCTGCTTCACCTGAACGGCGACGAACAGGAGGGGCAAAGGTACGGATACCAGCAGGATGATGAGCAGCGTCCAGGTGAAGTCCCCGCTCTGGGCATCCAACGTCCAAGATATCAGAGGCGCCTGGACGAAATTGGCAAGCCCAGAAAACAGGAACGAGAGGCCCATGACGCGACCCATCGACCGCGGCCCAAAGAACTCCGCGTTGTACGCGCTGATGATGCTGAACAAAAACGCCCGCCACGCGGCAAAGACCACGACCGTGCCGAGCTGCGTGAAAAGCTCTGGGACGAACTGCAAGCCGACGTAGATCCAGCCAATCACGGTGGTGAGGTAGACGGTAAACATGATACCTCCTCGGTGGACGCAGAGCTCGATCAGCGGAACGGAGAGGAAGCCAAAGGGGATGACAAGCCCGATGATGGTCCCGACCGTATCCAAGTATTTCACCTGCCCGCTCTGATCGACGATGTGCTTGTTCACCAGGTCCACGCTCCCCATGTAAATATTCGATCGTGGAATCTGTATGGTCGTGAACACCAAGATGGCTGCAAACTCCAAGGTGCGAAGCTGAGCCCCGAAAGGCCTCGCAGAGAGGGCTTCGGTATTCCCATCAGCGGGTGCGTCGCCGGCACGTTCCTTAATCTCCTTGAGATCCTTGATGGAGAAGCTCCAGGCGACCACCAGCAAGAAGAAACTCACGGCGGCAACGCCCGCGTAGATTTCGAGAATACCCTCGAAAGAAAACCCCGCGTCGAACACTATCTTGAAGATCGGGAAAATGATTGTACTGGCGTCGAAGAGGCAACTATTCGTTTCAATCAGCAAGGTGTCGCGGCTAGGAAAGAGAAACGGTACCGTATATCCACAGAACATGGTGAGTGATCCCCCGATGGCCTGGACGACAAGAGCATACAGGAACACATCGTGCTCTTCGCTACCGATTGTCTTGGAAAGGGCCATGCCGATGAGGCCTATGACGTTCAAGACCCCAGCCACCAATGCACCTAGCATTGGACCGCACGAATCCACGAAAATGCCTGCTGGAAGAGCCACCAAAGACACCGCGGTCGACGCAGCCGTAAATGCTGCGTTTAGGGCCCCAATCTGCGCATCACAGTGGACAGGATCTTCGGGACCGCACTTGTGCGCGTAGTAGCCTTGTTTAAGCAACATCTGGTTAAAAGCTGCCCATCCGAACACGATGCCAGAAAACAGGAACACCGCCGTGAGGCTCGAGACGGCCAGGAAGAGGCGCTGGCACTTCGACGACATTGGCCCGTCCAGAAGAAAGACTGCGCGGTGGAAGAAGCGACGGTCACGGCTACCACCTTCGGCCACCCCTGCCTGAGCCCCAGGCGTGAGCCAAAACGGCTACAGTCGGGGCGTTGACCTAAGGAACCCTAAATAAGGAACGAGGCCCCCTTTTTTCCATAAGTTAAACTTCGATTTCCGATCGAAAACATGAGGAAAACCTGAGGCAAGCTGCGAAACAACTAGGGGACATGGAGCCCCTCCCCAACGAAAAGGGTTCCTTCTTCAGCGCCCCGACTGTACGGAGCAGCGTGCGCAAATCAGCCTTGAAACCCAACAAAAAACCGTCGCACACGGCCTCCGCTGCGGGACCCCGCGCTCCGCCCCCGCGGCCTGCCCCGAACGTGCGGTGCGCCCGGCACTCCGAGAGGAGGAGCCCGAGCCGTGGCATTGCCGAGGGTGCCCCGAGGAAGCCCCAAAACGGCACAGGGGCGCACAGAGACGCGGAGCCTCGATCCGCGACACGACGGGCGTTCCGGGAGGCCCCCAGACCGGCACGGGGAGGCCCAGAAGCGTGCCTCCTGGACCCGCTGGAAGCAGCGCGCCCGCGCGTCCGGGCAGCATGTCGAGAGGAATCCAGCCGTGGCAGCAGGGAGGGGGCCCAAACGAGGCCCAGAACGACACAGCAGCGACCCAAAGGGCACCCGCGCTCCAACGGCGCCGCCACCTCGAGCAGATGTGAGCACCGAAAGCGAGCCGGCGGCTCCCGCAGTCCGTGCTGCGCGGCGACGGGAGCCTCCGGGGGCCCAGGCGCAGCAGCTTCCCAAGCTGCGTCTGGCCGTGGCGACGACGGGGGCCTCCGCAGGCCAACTGCCGCTGTCTCAACTCGCCCTCGGACTGATCAGCCAGATCGGCGCGCGCGCGGAGACCGCCTGCGCGCCCGGGACGCAGCCGCCGCAGGCCACGGGCAGGCTCCGCCAGGGCAGCGCCTGACGGGCCCGGCCGCGGCGCGGAGGCCTACCGAACCCCAGCCGTCGATCTCTCTGCTTTTCCGCCTCCCGCTGCTACTCCTCCTCGTCCTCCTCCTCCTCCTCGTTCTCCTCCTCCTCCTCCTCCTCCTCCTTCTTATTATTAGTCTTATTCTTAGTATTAGCATTCGTCTTATGACTATTATTATTATCATTATTATTATTAATAATAATATTATTATTTGTATTAGTAATATTATTAGTAGTAGTATTATTCATATAAATATTACTATTATTATTATTGTTATTATTATTAGTAGTATTAGTATTATTATTAGTATCCTGATTACTATTATTATTGCTAGTATTGTTAGTATTATTATTATGATTAGTAGTATTACTATTATTTGTAGTATCAGTATTATTACGACTAGTAGTATTAGCATGATTAGTATTGTTATTATTAGTATTGTTAATAATATTATTATCAGTAGTAGTATTACTAACATTAACATTATCAGTATGATTAGTATTCGTATTAGTATGGGTATTATCATTAGCATGATTAGTATTATTAGTATTGTAATTATTATTAGTATGTGTCTTATTCGTATGCTTAGTATTCCTCTTTTTCGTGTTAGTAGTCTTCTTATTCTTCTTATTATCATTCGTATTAGTACTCTTACTATTATTACTATTATCATTATTATTACTATCAGTAGTAGCATTGTTATCATTAGTAGTATCAGTAGTATTATCATTATTAGTAGTATGAGTAGTACTATTACTATAATGAGTTGCATTATTAATATTATTATTCGTAGTATTAACAATATTCTTCTTAGTATTATTATTATTATTATTTAGTATTATTATTATTATTAATATTATTATTATTAATAATAATATTATCCTCCTCCTCCTCCTCCTCCTCCTCCTCCTCCTCCTCTTCCTCCTCCTCCTCCACCTTACCCTCATCCTTCGTCTTTCCGTCTCCTCCGTCTCATCCTCCGTCGAATCCTCCTCCTCCTCCTCCTCCCCCTCCTCCTCCTCCCCGCCTCCTCTTCCTCCTCTCCTCCTCTCCTCCTCCTCCTCCCCTCTCCTCCTCCTCCTCCTCCTCCTCCTCCTCCTCCTCCTCCTCCTCCTCCTCCTCCGGAACACAGCCCGGACACAACCCGGCGGCAATGCCGGCAGCCGTGCCCTCATTCCACACTCGTACAGCATAGAGGCATCGTCCTCCAGGACACAGCCCGGTGGTTAGGCCGGCGGTCCTGCTTCCACTCAACGTTCACACTCCATAGTTGGTTTACAAATGCTGTGTCCAATGATACATATTTTTTTCGGTTACTTATTAGGTTGGTTGCAAGCCCATTCCCCCCTTCCCTTCCCTCGCATGATCTTCCCAATCTTGCCAGGGCTTCGAGGGCAGAGGGGGCTTGACACCCCTGGCCAAACCCCCCTCGTCACAGTAACAGTCTGGGCGCGCACGGAGGTCCGGACGAAGACTTTCCCGCCTCCTCCCCCCCGCTCCCTCCCCCCGAGCACGGGGGGAGAGGTTTGCGTAGGACTGCATGCGGTGCTACTCGCAGGCTGCACGAACGCCCTCTGTTCAAGATTCAGGCGCCCCCGGGAGCGGACAAATCGTGCCCCCCCGGGGAACCCAGTAATTGATGCGGTACCGCATTGTGACTCTCTATCGGTCCCCCTCGGCTGGCGCTGCGTGCAAGAGGGGTATGTTGCCCCCGCCGTTGTAGCGTTCCGGCTCAAGCTCAGCGTCCACTGTGTCAGCACCGTCTGCTTTACCACAGTCATCACCCCCACTCGCACATCTGAGGTGCTGACCTCCAGGACACAGCCCGGCGGCAATGCCGGCAGTCCTGCCTTCACTCCACACTCGTAACATAGAGGCATCGCCCTCCAGGACACAGCCCGGCGGCGAGGCCGGCGGTCCTGCTCCCACTCAACACTCGCCAACCAGAGGCATTGACCTCCAGGACATAGCCCGGCGCAAATGCCGGCGGTCCTGCTGCCATCCCACGCGTGAATCCAAAGGTATTTACCTCCAGGACACAGCCGGGCGGCAATGCTGGCGGTCCTGCTTTCACCCCCAATCGCACATCAGAGGTGCTGACCTCCAGGACACAGCCCGGCAGCAATGCGGGCAGTCCTGCCCTCATTCCACACTCGTACACCATAGAGGCACCGTCCTCCAGGACACAGCCCGGCGGCGAGGCCGGCGGTCCTGCTCCCACTCAACACTCGCCAACCAGAGGCATTGACCTCCAGGACATAGCCCGGCGCAAATGCCGGCGGTCCTGCTGCCATCCCACGCGTGAATCCAAAGGTATTTACCTCCATGACACAGCCGGGCGGCAATGCTGGCGGTCCTGCTTTCACCCCCAATCGCACATCAGAGGTGCTGACCTCCAGGACACAGCCCGGCAGCAATGCGGGCAGTTAGTCCTGCCCTCATTCCACACTCGTACACCATAGAGGCACCGTCCTCCAGGACACAGCCCGGTGGTTAGGCCGGCAGTCCTGCTTCCACTCAACGCTCACACACCAGAGTTGGTTTATTAAGTGCTGTGTCCAATTATACCTATGCCTCGGTTAATTATTAGGTTGGTTGCAAGCGCATTCCCCCCTGCCCTTCCCTCGCATGATCTTCTCAATCTTGCCAGGGCTTCGAGGGCAGAGAGGGCTTGACACCCCAGGCCAAACCCCCCTCGTCACAGTAACAGTCTGGACGCGCACGGAGCTCCAGACGAAGGCTTTCCCGCCCCCTCCCCCCCGCTTCCTCCCCCCCGCGCACGGGGGGAGAGGTTTGCGTAGCCGCCGGGCTGTGTCTGGGAGGACGATGCCTCTATGGTGTACGAGTGTGAAGTGGAGGCAGGACCGCCGGCGTTGCCGCCGGGCTGTGTCCTGGAGGTCAGCACCCCTGATGTGCAGTGGGATGGCAGCAGGACCGTCGGCATTTGCGCCCGGCTATGTCCCGGAGGTCAGTGCCTCTGGTGTGCGTGTGTTGAGTGGGAGCAGGACCGCCGGCCTCGCCGCCGAGCTGTGTCCTGGAGGGCGATGCCTCTAGGGTGTACGAGTTTGGAGTGAAGGCAGGACTGCCGGCGTTGCCGCCAGGCTGTGTCCTGGAGGTCAGCACCTCATGTGCGAATGTGGGTGATGACTGTGGTAAAGCAGACGGTGCTGACACAGTGGACGCTAAGCTTGAGCCGGAACGCTACAACGGCGGGGACAACATACCCCTCTTGCACGCAGCGCCAGCCGGGGGGGGGCAGATAGAGAGTCACAATGCGGTGCCGCATCAATTACTGGGTACCCGGGGGGGCACGATCTGTTCGCCCCCAGGGGCGCCTGAATCTTGAACAGAGGGCGCTTGTGCTGCGTGCGATTGTGGGAGGCCGGGCACGCACCTCGCATGCGTTAGTGGATGGGTCGGCCTGCCCAAGCCGTGTCGGATATCATATTGCAGGGCACAGAAACCACACACAATTTGTTATCGCAATGAGTGCAACAATGTGGGGCCCATTTCATCGGCCACGCGGCCGGGACACGATGAATGTGACGTCTTTCCACATTCGTACACCATAGAGGCATCGTCCTCCAGGACACAGCCCGGCGGCGAGGCCGGCGGTCCTGCTCCGACCCAACACTCGCACACCGGAGGCACTGACCTCCTGGACATAGCCCGGCGCAAATGCCGGCGGTCCTGCTGCCATCCCACTGCACAGAAGAGGTGCTGACCTCCAGGACAAAGCCCGGCGGCAACGCCGGCAGTCCTGCCTCCACTTTACACTCGTACAACATAGAGGCATCGTCCTCCAGGACACAGCCCGGCGGCGAGACCGGCGGTCCTGCTCCCACTCAACACACGCACACCAGAGGCACTGACCTCCAGGACATATATTGGCGCAAATGCCGGCGGTCCTGCTGCCATCCCACGCGCGAATCTTGAGGTATTCACCTCCAGGGCACAGCCCGGCGGCAATGCCGGCGGTCCTGCTTTCACCCCCAATCGCACATCAGAGGTGCTGACCTCCAGGACACAGCCCGGCGGCAATGCCGGCAGTCCTGCCCTCATTCCACACTTACACCATAGAGGCATCGTCCTCCAGGACACAGCCCGGCGGTTAGGCCGGCGGTCCTGCTTCCACTCAACGTTCACACACCAGAGGCACTGACCTC